ATTACATTGGCTCTCAGATCCAGGACACTGCCATACATAATAAGATAATTCCTCCCCTGTGCCTGGGAGATAATTGAGTCAAGTACTGAACTAAACTCAATTATCTCCAGGCACAAAAACCACACATTTTTATAAAACACCAAAAATACATTTACAGGCGATACTCAAAAAAATTGAATATGGTGCAAAAGTTCATTTATTTCAGTAATGCAACGTAAAAGGGGAAACTAATATATAAGATAGACGCACTACATGCAAAGCAAGTTTAAGCCGTGATTTGTCATAAGTGTGATGATTATGGCTTACAGCTCATGAAAACCCCAAATCCACAATCTCAGTAAATTAGAATATTGTGAAAAGGTGCAATATTCTAGGCTCACAGTGTACCACTCTAATCAGCTAAGTAAGCCATAACACCTGCCAGGGTTTCTGAGCCTTTAAATGGTCTCTTAGTCTGGTTCAGTAGGAATCACAATCATGGGGAAGACTGCTGACCTGACAGTTGTGCAGAAAACCATCATTGACACCCTCCATAAGGAGGGAAAGCCTCAAAAGGTAATTGCGAAGGAAGTTGGATGTTCCCAAAGTGCTGTATCAAAGAACATTAATAACAAGTTATGTGGAAGAAAAAGGTGCACAAGCAGCAGGGATGACTGCAGCCTGGAGAGGATTGTCAGGAAAAGGCCATTCAAAAGTGTTGGGAACTTTCACAAGGAGTGGACTGAGGCTGGAGTCAGTGCATCAAGAGCCACCACACACAGACAGATCCTGGACATTGGCTTCAGATGTATTCCTCTTGTCAAGGTGCTCCTGAACAACAAACAACGTCAGAAGCGTCTTACCTGGGCTAAAGAAAAACAGACCTGGTCTGTTGCTCAGTGGTCCAAAGTCCTCTTTTCTGATGAGAGCAACTTTTGCACCTCATTTGGAAACCAAGGACCCAGAGTCTGGAGGAAGAATGGAGAGGCACACACTGCAAGATGCTTGAAGTCCAGTGTGACGTTTCCACAGTCTGTGTTGATTTGGGGAGCCATGTCATCTGCTGGTGTTGGTCCACTGTGCTTCATTAAGTCCAAGGTCAACGCAGCCGTCTACCCACTTCATGCTTCCTTCCGCAGACAAGCTTTATGGGGATGCTGACTTCATTTTTCAGCAGGACTTGGCACCTGCCCACATTGCCAAAAGCACCAAAGCCTGGTTCAATGACCGTGGGATTACTGTGCTTGATTGGCCAGCAAACTTGCCTGACCTGGACCACATAGAGAATCTATGGGGAATTGCCAAGAGAAAGATGAGAGACATAAGACCGAACAATGCAGAAGAGCCTAAGGCCGCTATTGAAGAATCCTGGTCTTCCATAACACCTCAGCAGTGCCACAGGCTTCGATGCCATGCCGCATTGAGGCAGTAATTGCTCCAAAAGGGGCCCAAACCAAGTACTGAGTCCATATGCATGCTTATACTTTTCAGAGGTCCGATATTGTTCTATGTACACTCCTTGTTTTATTGATTGCATGTAATATTCTAATTTACTGAGATTGTGGATTTGGGGTTTTCATGAGCTGTAAACCATAATCATCGCACTTATGACAAATCACGGCTTAAACTATCTTGCTTTGCATGTAATGCATCCAGGGCCAGATTAAGAGCTCAGTGGGCCTGGTGCTGACAATTATGACGGGCCTAATTACAGAATCATATCGACCAAAAACAGTAAAACACTCCCAAGCATCATATACCTGATGGAGATGGTGCTGGAGAGAAAGAAAAAACAGCAGCTATAAGAAAACACATACCCTAGGCTAATCTCTCTCTAATTTATGTTTTCATCTTTCAAGTAAATCCATAATCCCTAACAGCAGTGTCCAGGCAAGCAGGAAGTAAATGGGCATGGTAAAAGGTTGTGCCACTGACACAAATCATGTAACCTGCCAAAAGGGGTGAACATGCCCAAAAAGAGGACATGTCTGCTCAAAGAATTAGAAGGCCAGCCTGGCATGAATGCATGTCAGGCTGCCTGCCAATCATGCAGCTGGCCAACTAAGGGCATACTATGCAGACAGCACCCTGAGCTTGGCATAAATGCATCTAATGATGCGCTCACTCAACGCTTTCTAAGGACTGTCCCCTAGCACTCGCTAGTCCACTTGTCTCCTTACCTTCTTACTAGCAGGCAGAAGCTCCTGGTACATGGTCTGGGACAGAGAAAAGCTGTATGTAGTGAGTGTAGAAGAAAGGGAACATGCCACAGTGTTAGAGAGATCAAAGTCAGCATTACCTTAAAGGATAACTATAGGGTCAGGAACACAAACATGAAGTGTTAACACCACCATCTAGCCCTCCTGGACCCCTCATGCCTCCATAAATATAGCAAAATCTTACTATATTCAAACCTGAAGCTGTAACTCTGCATGCTGTTAGACTCATAAAAACAAGCAGTCTGCTGACATCATTAGAAGTGGTGGACTGATCCAATCACAGTGCTTCCCCATAGGATTGGCTGAGACTGACATAGAGGCAGATCAGGGTCAGAGCCAGCATGATTCAAACATAGCCCTGGCCAATCATCATCTCCTTATATAGATTAATTTAATTAATGAATCTCTATGAGGAAAGTTCAGTGTCTGCATGCAGATGGAGGAGACACTGAATGTTTGGATGCATTTTAGGCAGCCATGACCCAGGAAGGATCTCTAACAGTCATCTAAGGAGTGGCCAGTGAAGTTATCACTAGGATGTAATGTAAAGACTGCATTTTATCTGAAAAAGACAGTGTTTACAGCAAAAAGCCTGACGGTAACGATTCTACTCACCAAAACAAATTCAATAAGCTTTAGTTGTTCTGGTGACTATAGTGTCCCTTTAACTATATTCATTGTCAGCCAGTGCACACAAGTTTTGTTCCCATACATCCCACTTAAGTTTCCATATTTAAGTAAGAGTATGTGAAAAGTAATTAGGGTTGCCACCTTTCTTGGAAAAACATACCGGCCTTACTAATTTGCATAATAAAATATGTATGGATGACATCACATGATGTAAATCACAAGGAGTGACATAAGAGAAAATGTTGTAAAATCACCAAAAACTACTTAGTTTGATTCTGCTGTATAGATGGATTCCTCCCAGTGCCCCCATGTCTCCCAGTGCCCTCATGACTCTGTGCCCCCATGTGTCGATTACTCCAGTTCTCAGTGTTCCTATGTATCAGTGCCCCAGTGCCCCAGGGGACAATTGAAGACATGGGGACACAGACACCAGGGACACAGACACTAGAGACACTGGCTGGGAGACATGGGGACATTGAGACATGGGGACACAGAGACACCGGGGCCACAGACACTAGGGACACTAGCTTGGAGACATGGGGACATTGTGACACTTGAGGCAATGAGAGACATGGAGGCACTAGGAGACATGGGGACAGTGAGACACTGTCTGACTGGGGGCACTGGGAGAAAGTCATAATATCTCCCAGTGTCCCTTAGTGTCTCAGTGTATGTCTCCTTGCAGCCTTCCCCCCATCCCTTACTTCCCTGAGCTGTAGGCTGTATCTGCAGGGTGGGAGTTGCTGTCTGGACTCTCTGTAGCTGCACCCCTGCAGATCAGTGAGTATAGATAAGCAGGGAGGGATATGCTGGAACTTCCTATCCCTGCCTGTCTCCACACACAGTGACCCCTACTGGCCAGTGCTGGTATTGCAGAGTAATCTCTTGTTTATACTGAGAAAAATACCAGCATTTGTATTGCCAGTATCGCTGCAATATTGGCACCAGCCAGGCAGCCTCAAATACTGGCTGTGCCAATAAAATAAAAGCCAGGTGGAATCCCTAAGAGTAGTGTGTGAAAAAAAAAATTTAAAAAAAAAAAAAAAAAAATTTTTTTTTTTTTAAATCAATGGGCCTATTCCATGGGCCTGGGCCTGGAGCTGCAGCTCCATCAGCCCCTATGTTAATCCGGCCATGAATGCATCTATCTCATAAATTAGTCTCCCCTTTTACGTTGCATTACTGAAATAAATGAACTTTTGCACAATATTCACATTTTTCGAGTATCACCTGTAAACACACAAAAAACCCACAAAAGTTACATCCCCTGATGGCTCCGATCTGGGTGACCAACATATTCAAAATTGGTTCAGGAATTTCCTAGAAGTCATTTATTTGACCTACCGCACACATGGTTCCATGCCAAAAACAGTTCCAGAAAATTAGGGCTTGCAGTTGGTCTAGTTCGGTAGTTTAAAAACAAACAAATTACCGAGCACAGTCAATGTTCTTACCCTGGAGCTTGTTCCCAGTGCTCTTCTAAATTGTATAGAACTGAACGCAGGCAATGATGGAAGTCCAGCGGTGCTCCGGCACTATGTTATGTTGGAGAATTGTTTTGGCAATGTTCTGAGCTCGTGAGAGGAGTATTCAGAACCCGGTAGAGCTGCAGGCTAAAGCCCCTGGGTCCTCCTTTCCAGCAGTGAAGTGCCAGCATGCTGATGGCCACAGCTATCACAGCCCACTGGGCATTTGCCCAATGGCCATTCAGGGACTGGTTACATGTTTTGATCATATGTAGTATGATTGTCCATATAGGCTCCTTCCGCCATGTAACAATGAGAGCAACTACAAAAACCTTCAGTTAGTGCAACACAAGTGCGTCTAACGATACGTTCAATTTAAATTGTCCCGCTGAATCTGGGGAGGGGGTGCTTTATAATTAGGGATTATTCTAGCTTACAGTGAACGAATAATCTAAATTTTATTAAAGACAGGAGGCGAATATTTGCTTATCTTTCTTTACTGAAAAACTCCCAGCAGCAAAGAAATAGTTAATAAAGTTGTAAAAAATTCAACCAATCATAACACAACATAGAGCAATATAGTGCCATCAGACTCCTCCCACTTCCTCTTTCTTAGGTGATGCCGAACAGGATAGAAGAAATTAACTTGTAAACTTGAAACATTCTGCGGTGTAGTCCGTAGCAAGTCAACCATGTAAACGGGTAGATGGAGAGATTAATTCGAAGTTTTCACACTAGAAGAGAAGAAAAGAAACTTCGTGAAAGTATGGTCTCTTACAACTTTATTAACTATTTCTTTGCTGCTGGGAGTTTTTCAGTAAAGAAAGATAAGCAAATATTCGCCTCCTGTCTTGCCATAAAATTAGAAGCGCTGCAAGGATTATACAGAATATACCCGACTAATATCCTCCTTTCACTCCTTGACATGCTAAATGTGCATCCCTCCAACATTAACACCTAATTAATACAGCGTCAGGGAGCCTGGTATATACCATAATCACCGCACACAGCATCAGGGGCCCCTTTATATTACATAATCCCCACATACAGCATCAGGGGGCCCTGTATATCACATCATCACCGCATACAGCGTCAGGGGCCCTATTTATCACATAATCACCGCATACAGCGTCAGGGGCCCTATATATCACATAATCACCACATACAGCGTCAGGGGGCCCTGTATATCACATCATCACCGCATACAGCGTCAGGGGCCCTATTTATCACATAATCACCGCATACAGCGTCAGGGGCCCTATATATCACATCATCACCGCATACAGCGTCAGGGGCCCTATTTATCACATAATCACCGCATACAGCATCAGGGGGCCCTGTATATCACATCATCACCGCATACAGCGTCAGGGGGCCCTGTATATCACATCATCACCGCATACAGCGTCAGGGGCCCTATTTATCACATAATCACCGCATACAGCGTCAGGGGCCCTATATATCACATAATCACCACATACAGCGGGGCCCTGTATATCACATCATCACCGCATACAGCGTCAGGGGCCCTATTTATCACATAATCACCGCATACAGCGTCAGGGGCCCTATATATCACATCATCACCGCATACAGCGTCAGGGGCCCTATTTATCACATAATCACCGCATACAGCATCAGGGGGCCCTGTATATCACATCATCACCGCATACAGCGTCAGGGGGCCCTGTATATCACATCATCACCGCATACAGCGTCAGGGGCCCTATTTATCACATAATCACCGCATACAGCATCAGGGGGCCCTGTATATCACATCATCACCGCATACAGCGTCAGGGGGCCCTATATTTCACATAATCACCACATACAGTCTCAGGGGGCCCTATTTATCACATAATCACCGCATACAGCGTCAGGGGGCCCTGTATATTATTATTATTATTTTATTATTTATATAGCGCCATGAAATTCCGTAGCGCTGTACAATGGGTGGACTAACATACATGTAATTGTAACCAGACAACTGGACGTACAGGAACAGAGGGGTGGAGGGTCCTGCTCCATGAGCTTACATGTATATCACATAATCACCACATACAGCGTTAGGGGGCCCTATACAATCACATAATCACCGCATACAGCGTCAGGGGGCCCTACATATCACATAATCACCACATACAGCGTCAGGGGGCCCTATTTATCACATAATCACCGCACACAGCGTCAGGGGGCCCTATATATCGCCTAATCACCGCATACAGCGTCAGGGGGCCCTATACAATCACATAATCACCGCATACAGCGTCAGGGGGCCCTATATATCACATAATCACCGCACACAGCGGCATGGGGGCCCTATATATCACATAATCACCGCACACAGCGTCATGGGGGCCCTATATATCACATAATCACCGCATACAGCGTTAGGGGGCCCTATATATCGCATAATCACCACATACAGCGTCAGGGGGCCCTACATATCACATAATCACCACATACAGCGTATCATGTGATGTTATAGAGAGGGAAGGGGGCTGTATATAGAGGTACCATGTGATGTTATAGAGAGGGAGGGGGGCTTGTATGTAGAGGTACGATGTGATGTTATATAGAGGGAGGGAGGGGGGCTGTATATAAAGGTACGATGTGATGTTATATAGAGGGAGGGAGGGGGGCTGTATATAGCGGTACCATGTGATGTTATATAGAGGGAGGGGGCTTGTATATAAAGGTACCATATGATGTTATATAGAGGGAGGGAGGGGGGCTGTATATAGAGGTACCATGTGATGTTATATAGAGGGAGGCAGGGGGCTGTATATAGAGGTACCATGTGATGTTATATAGAGGGAGGGAGGGGGGCTGTATATAGAGGTACCATGTGATGTTATATAGAGGGAGGGATGGGGCTGTATATAGAGGTACCATGTGATGTTATATAGAGGGAGGGAAGGAGGGGGCTGTATATGGTACCTCTATATACCTCTATATAACATCACATGGTACCTCTATATACAGCCCCCCTCCCTCCCTCTATATAACATCACATGGTACCTTTATATACAGCCCCCCTCCCTCTATATAACATCACATGGTACCTCTATATACAGCCCCCATCCCTCCCTCTATATAACATCACATATATAGAGGGAGCCCCCCTCCCTCCCTCTATATAACATCACATGGTACCTAGAGTGATGTTATATAGAGGGAGGGAGGGGGGGCTCCCTCTATATATGTGATGTTATATAGAGGGAGGGATGGGGGCTGTATATAGAGGTACCATGTGATGTTATATAGAGGGAGGGGGGCTGTATATAGAGGTACCATGTGATGTTATATAGAGGGAGGGGGCTGTATATAGAGGTACCATGTGATGTTATATAGAGGGAGGGAGGGGGGCTGTATATAGAGGTACCATGTGATGGTATATAGAGGGAGGGAGGGGGCTGTATATAGAGGTACCATGTGATGTTATATAGAGGGAGGGAGGGGGCTGTATATAGAGGTACCATGTGATGTTATATAGAGGGAGGGAGGGGGGCTGTCTGCACATGCTCAGCTCTCTGTATTGTGGGCTGGGAGGGGGAGGGGAGGATTACAGTCGGATCTCGATGATGTCTGCAGGAAGAGGCTGTTAGGGGCCACAGGGGCCAATCACCCCAACAGCGGGGACCCAGCGAACAGCCGGAGGGTCGGGCCCGGGGGCCACACAGGGAGCGGAGACTGCAACTCCCATCATCCAGGGACAGGGAGCGAATACCGTATCTACACTACAACTCCCATCATCCAGGGACAGGGAGCGAATACCGTATCTACACTACAACTCCCATCATCCAGAGACAGGGAGCGAAAACCTTATTTACACTACAACTCCCATCATCCAGGGACAGGATCTAATACCATATCTTCACTACAACTCCAATCATCCAGGGACCTAATACTGTATCTTCACTACAACTCCCATCATCCAGAGACAGGGATCTAATACCGTATCTTCACTACAACTCTCATCATCCAGAGACAGGGATCTAATACCGTATCTTCACTACAACTCTCATCATCCAGGGACAGGGATCTAATACCGTATCTTCACTACAACTCCCATCATCCAGAGACGGGATCTAATACCGTATCTTCACTACAACTCCCATCATCCAGAGACAGGATCTAATACCGTATCTTCACTACAACTCCCATCATCCAGGGACAGGATCTAATACCGTATCTTCACTACAACTCCCATCATCCAGGGACAGGATCTAATACCGTATCTTCACTACAACTCTCATCATCCAGAGACAGGGATCTAATACCGTATCTTCACTACAACTCCCATCATCCAGGGACAGGATCTAATACCGTATCTTCACTACAACTCCCATCATCCAGGGGCAGGGATCCAATACCTTATGTACACTAGAACTCCCATCATCCAGAGTCAGGGATATGTACCTTATCTACACTACATCTCCCATCATCCAGGGACAGGGATCTAATACCTTATCTACACTACATCTCCCATCATCCAGGGACAGGATCTACAGCTTCAATATTTCCAGCATTTCTGCACTATAATTGCCATCTTCCAAGGACCGGGAACTCCATCCTCATTATCTCTGCATTTCCATCATCCAGGGACATTATCTTCCTTCTCACTATACTCTCACTCCTATCATCCAGGACCACTGTCTTCCTTTCCATCATAACCCTTTCACTCCCATAATCCATGGTCAGGTACCATTTGTCTTATTTTCCTCATCACTCCCATCATCCCTTGGAAGAGGTTACTATCCTTTTCATAATTATTACTGCACTGCCAGTCACATCATCCCTGAGCAAAAATCACTATCCTATTCCTCATAGTCATCAATACACTTTCAGTCCCATCATCCCTGATGGATCCATATAGACAACTCCTTGCACAATAAGGGGTCAATATAGGCCACTCCTATACTGGGCACACATATAGGGGGTCCATATAGACAGCTCCTATACTGGGCACACATACAGGGGGTCCATATAGACAGCTCCTATACTGGGCACACATACAGGGGGTCCATATAGACCACTCCCATACTGGGTACACATATAGGGGGTCCATGTAGACCGCTCCTATACTGGGCACACATACAGGGGGTCCATATAGACCGCTCCCATACTAGGTACACATATAGGGGGTCCATGTAGACCGCTCCTATACTGGGCACACATTTAGGGGGTCCATGTAGACCGCTCCTATACTGGGCACACATTTAGGGGGTCCATGTAGACCGCTCCTATACTGGGCACACAATAAAAGGTCCATATAGACAGCTCCTATACTGGGCACACAGAAAAAGGTCAATATAGACCGCTCCTATACTGGGCACATATATAGGGGGTCCCATATAGACAGCTCCTATACTGGGCACACAATAAAAGGTCAATATAGACAGCTCCTATACTGGGCACACAATAAAAGGTCAATATAGACCGCTCCTATACTGGGCACATATATAGGGGGTCCCATATAGACAGCTCCTATACTGGGCACACAATAAAAGGTCAATATAGACAGCTCCTATACTGGGCACACAATAAAAGGTCAATATAGACCGCTCCTATACTGGGCACATATATAGGGGGTCCTTATAGACAGCTGCTATACTGGGCACTGATATAGGGGGTCCATATAGACAGCTCCTGTACTGGGCACACATATAGGGGGTCCATATAGACAGCTCCTATACTGGGCACACAATAAGGGGTCCATATAGACTACTCCTAAACTGGGCACACATATAGGGGGTCCATATAGACCGCTCGCATACTGGGCACTGATATAGGGGGTCCATATAGACAGCTCCTATACTGGACACACAATAAGGGGTCCATATAGACAGCTCCTATACTGGGCACTAATATAGGGAGTCCTTATAGACAGCTCCTATACTGGGCACTAATATAGGGAGTCCTTATAGACAGCTCGCATACTGGGCCCATATATACAGCTTCTATACTGGGCACACATATAGGGGGTCCATATAGACCGCTCCTATACTGGGAATACATAAATGGGTCCTTATATACAGCTCCTATACTGGGCCCAAAAAGGGGGACAATATTGAAATATCCTGTACTGGCTAAATACAGAGTAATCCATATAGGCAGGTCATATACTGGGCACATATAGAGGTATCCATAAATACAATTCCTATACTGGGCACATAAAAACCTCAGAGGTAAAATAGTCCTATAATCGTTACATATAAAGAGGTGAATATAGACAGCACTTATACTGGCCCCATATAACAATACACATTGTGGACCCATACATGGACGTATTGGAAGATCCATACACACAGATTTATCAGTGGCCACACACATGGACATAGAGTGACCTAAGGCTACACAAGGTTCCAGGCCATATATACCAGTTAGGGCCTCTGCCTCTCACTGATTGGGTTGTGTTGGTCACTGGCACTATGCTGTGTGGAATGAGGGGGCTGCTGGTGGCCGTGTGCTCAGGATGCCTAGGGATGTCCCTGCTTCATTCTGGCCTCTTCTACCTACTCCTCTTCGCTCACAGCTCCCA